ACCCATAAAGGAGCCGTTTATGTTTGGAATGATAAGCACAAAGAAGCTTTCGAGTTGCTAAAGAAGAAGCTATGTGAGGCACCAATACTATCTCTACCTGATGAAGTTGAAGACTTCGCTATTTATAGCGATGCGTCTGGGTTTGGATTGGGTTGTGTTTTGATCCAAAGAGATAAGGTGATCGCGTATGCATCTCGACAGCTAAAAGAGCATGAAAAGAACTACCCGACTCACGATCTGGAGTTGGCAGTGGTAGTTTTTGCTCTAAAAATATGGAGGCATTACCTTTATGGAACAAAGTGCAAATTGTTCACTGATCATAAGAGTCTTCAATATCTCTTTAGTAAAAAGGAATTGAATATGAGACAACGACGCTGGCTAGAGTTACTTAAGGACTACGACTGTGAGATACTTTACTACCCCGGTAAAGCAAATGTTGTTGCTGATGCTCTCAGTCGGAAGGTCAATCTTGAAAGAAAAAGGCCAAGAGCGTTGAGAATAGAACTTGTCTTGACAATTATGGAGAGTATAAAGAAAGCTCAAGAGGAAGCTTCTGAGAAGAATGACCGAAAGGAAGAACTTTTGGGCAAAACGTTGGTGTTTGGTATAAACAGTCATGGACTGAAGGTGTTCCAAGATCGGATTTGGATACCTAAGACAAGAGGAGTCAGAGAAATTCTGATGGAAGAAGCTCACAAAACCATGTACTCAATTCATCCTGGCAACACTAAAATGTATAGGGATCTGAAACCCTATTACTGGTGGCCGACGATGAAGCTTGATGTTGCGAAGTATGTGGCGGAGTGTGTGACCTGTGCGAGAGTCAAGGCACAACATCAGAAACCATACAGGAGTTTAGAACCTTTGCTTGTGCCTATGGACAATTAGGAGGATATCATGATGGATTTTGTCACTAAACTGACCAGGACAAAGAATGGTCACAACATGATTTGGGTGGTTGTTGATCGATTCACTAGTGCGCATTTCATAGCAGCCAACGAGAAATGGTCTATGGAGAAGCTTGCGAATTCTTACGTAAAGGAATTGTGAGGCTTCATGGTGTTCCGTTAACGATTGTGTCGGATCGTGATAGCCGTTTCACCTCAAGGTTTTGGAAAAGTCTACAAGAGGAAATAAGTATCAAGTTGCGTTTAAGTACAACTTACCATCCACAGACTGTTGGTCAGAGCGAACGAATGATACAAACACTTGAAGATATGCTAAGAGCATGTACCTTAGAATTCCAAGGTAACTGGGATGAACATTTACCATTGGTAGAATTTTCCTATAATAATAGTTTTCACTCGAGCATTAAGATGACACCTTATCAAGCTTTGTACGGGCAAAAGTGTCGTACGCCGTCTTGTTGGCTTGAGGTTGGGGAAAAGCAGTTTATGGGACCAGAGATAGTCCATCAAACTGCTGAAGAGTTGAAAATAATTAGGGAGAGAATGTTAGCAGCTCAGGATCGTCAAAAGAGCTATGCCGACAAAAAGCGAAGACCGATGACTTTTGAAGTTGGAGATTCAGTTTTGCTTAAAGTCTCGTCGTGGAAGGGACTTATAAGATTTGGTAAAAGGGAAAAATTAATTCCAAGGTTTATTGGACCGTTTATAGTTCTTCAGAGAATTAGGAACCAAGCTTACAAGCTCAAACTACCAGAAGAACTGAATGGAATTCATAACACTTTCCATGTGTGTTATTTGAGGAAGTTCACGGGAGAAGTTCTCGACATGATTCCAATTTCTGAATTGAGAATTGACGAAAACAAAAGGTTGATTGAAGAACCAGAGGCAATCGTTGACCGAAAGACTAAGAAGTTACGACGCAAGATGGTCGAGTTAGTGCTTGTCCGATGGAAACATACGAATGAGCCAAATCTCACCTGGGAGACGGAGAGTGACATGATGAGTCGCTACCCGCATTTGTTTGTTGATGTGTGATTCCGGGGAGGGAATCATCCTAAGGTGGGGAGAATTGTAATGCCCATGTTTCTGGGCTTGCCATTTTTAGCAATGTAATAGTCTAGGTTAACCTTTGTAACCCAATTTGAAATAATAAGAATGTATTATTTGCGAGTTATGCGTTTTATACTTATCTGCTTAATTATGTGATTTGATTTAATCTATAATAAAAATAAGCGTAAAAATGAAATGTTATATAAACCTGATATTGATGCACGAAGATGTAGTGGTTGAGACGAGGTTTCCGAAAACATAAAGAATGCTGAAATCCGAGTTATAACGAAAAAGTTGTGACCTGTCGAAGTTTCACAACAAAACCGGCGTGGCACATCGTGATGTAAATAGTGAATTTACGAAGAAGTAATATTTGGCCTTAGTGATCAACACGAAAGACGTAGATAATGTTGAAACGAGAGCGTGCATAAAAAGAACGCCTAAATCTGACTTCGTATGAGAAAAAATTATGATTTTTCGAAGTTTCAGCTTAGCAGTAGACAACTTAAAAGTTCGAATTGAGATCGAGCGAATTTTAGCCGAAACTTTCTAAACGAGAATCGAAGATCTCATCGATGGTAGTGCAACGACAGAAAGAGGGACAAAAACGGACGTCAAACGAAGAAGTTATGAATTTCTAACGAAATTTTTCTATCCTGGCCTAATAAAAATAAATAATAAAAAATAAAGTCAAAATTAGCCGACGGAGTCTAAACGAAAGTTGTAGCGCATAATCTCACCTACGCGTGGATATAAAGAAAGTCGAAAACGGAGCTCGTATGCGAAAGTTATGAATTTTTGAAGATCGTGGTACACATACCAAAGCTTATCAGAAACGTACTCCCAGCGTAACCAAGATTACGCCCAACGTAATCCCAGGCCCAGTAACCTATAAATAGAAGCCGAGATCAACCATTTTCCTTGCGATTTTTCTTCCTTTCTCTCTAAGTTTTGCATCGTTTTGCGTGCCAATTATATCCCAAAGCCCCGATATCATTCCCGAGCCCCGAAGTAAGTTCCGAAGTCCCAAGGATCCCGAGGAGCGTTATTCCCGAGCCGAAGCCCTACCCGCGAGGAGCCCGATTTTTGTGAAGATCTTCCAGATCTACCGAAGAATACTACTTCTGCAAGCCGTAGTGCTGCCCGATCATCTTCTGATCAAAGTGAGTGTATAGTCCCTTTCAAATACACGATATTATACAAGTAATCGTTGAATGTATTTAAGAATACGTGTTGTGTGAGGGTATTATTATTACTTTCTAACACATAGACTTATATGATTCTCCTTGAAATTTCTTGTTATGTTTTTACGTATTACTTGCTATTTGGATGGAGTATTGAAAGAGCACGCTATACAGTTTTTTTTTTTTTTTTTTTTTTTTTTTTTTTTTAATTTTTTTTAATTTTTTTTTTATTAAAATTATGTATAAAACATGTATATTTTTATCTACTAATATATTGGGTAGAATATGGGTAGATAGTTGGTGTGCAATGAAATAAATTGATGAGAGGCCTCGTTGTTGGTGTTATTCTAGTCATTCAGCAGAGTATAAATGACGACCGCGGACTATTCTAGACAGTCCTGTGGAACGCTAGCAGGCTCATAACCTGTAGGTGTTGTGAACGATGTGTTCACCGGTGTACTCTATCCCCCACATGGTTGCCTTTAGGACACTTATTGTTGATGAAGCCCCTCTGCAGTAATGTCCGTCCCGATGAAAATCCTAGATTAGATCCCTTGAGATAGATGTTATTTTAAGGATGTAAAGTGAGGATAACATGAATGGGTAATCGGGTTATTGTTGAATTAAATATAATTATCTATTGTGGGTTGAAAACCCTATATGCTCACCAGGCCCCCAAGCCTGACTCACTCAGTTTATTTGTATTATAAGAAGTGGTGCAAGGGCATAAGATGAATGAACCATCAAGTTGTTTTGTTTATAAGTCAGTATATGTATATATTTGTTGAATGACTTGTAATGTTATCGTTTATGCTTTATGGTCTGTATCGGAACATGACATCCCGATTTTTGATTATGAAATGAAATTATATTTCTTCATAAAATGTTTTGATAAAAATCTATTTTATCATGTTTTGTTTTTGGGAACAAATTCCGCATCTCTTTTAAAATTAAAAGGATTTATTCTAAAAATGTTTAAAAAAACATAAATGAAACCGGTCTTTTCTGACCGAGATTTTGGGGATGTCACAGAGAGAGAGAGAGAGAGAGAGAAATTTTCTAATTATTTAAATACTAAAATAAATAAATAAATGAAAAAAAGAAATAAAATAATTGACCTTTCAAGTAAAACTTAGATAAAATTCTTGATTTTTAACATTCAATTTATTTCGAATTCTATCATAACTTTTACGAAACCACATGGACAATTTTATAGTTTTTTCATACTTTAAGTTTCAAAATATAATTAAACAAAACTTTTCTAAAATACACATGATCAATTGCTATTAAAAATATATTTATTCAATAAAAGAAGCGTAATTAACATCCACATTATTAACTAAATTTTCCATTTGCTAAACTTTATTTTTAAATTAAGCTAAAAGTTATCAATACTCATTTCGTAAATACACTTGTTGGTTATTAAAATTTAAAAATCCTTTAAAACCCTTTTCGTATAAATTACAAGAAAGTCCCAACACTTATTTTGACCAATTTCAATATTATAATAATTGTTTATTTTGTCCCTTAAACAAATTACTTAAAAAACATGAAACCATCGTATTTTGTCCTTTTCAAGATAATTTATATAAATTTAATCCACTCCCATTTATTTTCTTTACCTAATTTCTTTTCCTCTGCCCCAAAAACCTCTGCAAAGTTTTCACTAATATCAAAAGTTGTGGTGGCTGCAACTCATAAGACAACAAACCCCAAAGCCCACACTGTTGTTTTTACAGTTTTAATTTTATATATCATATTTTAATAATAACAATAATAACAAAAATAATAATATAGTCAATCTTTTAGAATATTTATAGACTTACATAAAAAAAAATTAAATAAAAAAAGATTGTAACACACCTGACACACACTCCCCCCACCCCACCCCACAACCTATCCCCCTTTGCTTCATCTTCCCCAAAGCTCCAATTCCAAACCCTCTCACCAAAACCAAAAGCTTTAAACAGCAACAACAAACAAACCCTCTTTGACTCATCCAACTTATAATCTGTATGTGGGATACAGCAAAGCATCAAGATTGCTTACAGGAGTTGTACGTGTTGCATAATCTCTTGTACATTTTGTCATCTTCTCTCTCATTAATCCCCAAAAACAAGCCGAACCGTTGAACGTTTTTCTCTCCGTTTCTCTCTCTCGCTCTATATCATCTATCTTATATCTCCTCTCTCTCTGTAACTAAAGTGAAGGTTTTTACTCACTGTTCAAAAAAAAAAAATAAAAAAAATCCCACCTTTTCCTTCTCCCTCCGCTTCTTTCTCTCTCTAAAATTCGATGCTTTTTTTGTTGTAGAGAGAGAAAGGTGAAGCAAACAAAAATGGTGGTCGAGTGACTGAGAGCGACTGTGTTTTGTTTTTGTTTTCTTTTTGAAATAAAAGTGTTTTTTTACTGGGTTTATACACCACCATGGATACAGTTGAAGCTACGAAAATGGTGATGTCAAGGATCCAAAAATTAGATCCAGAAAATGCTTCAAAAATCATGGGATACATACTCATACAAGACCAAGGAGAAAATGAGATGATAAGGCTGGCGTTTGGCCCAGAAAACCTTCTGGTTTCCGTCATAAAACAAGCCAAAAATTTCTTAGACATTTCGTCGAATGCTTCTTCTGCACCTTCGACTCCTTCGCTGTTTATGCACCGAAATTCCCCTCAAATCATCATTCCCAACAATGGGTTTCATCACATGAACCCATCTTCGCCGAGTTCGCCTTGGTCTTTATCTGGGTCTTTCCCCGATCATCATCATCACCGTGGTAGCCCTCGTCCGGCTTCTTACGCTGCTGTGGTAAACGGTGGTGGTTCTTCTGCTTCGTCGTTTTACAACAATTTTAACGATCCCACCGAGGAGTATAGTACTAACAATGGACTGCAAGTTGTTCCCGATCAGCTTTCCTTCTTCGACGAATCTAAAAATGTCGACTTTATAGACCCAATGGTGAGCCCCGGTGGTCGTAGTGACTCGGTTCTCTTCCCCTACCCTAACGATAGTTCAAATTGGTCTGTCGAAACGGGTAACTGTGGCGACTTGCATCACCATCATCTACACCGGAGGAGTTGCTCGGTGAACGATGTTTTTCTTGGCGGTGGAGGCGGAAACGACGATATGGGTGGTGGCTGGAGACCTTGCATGTACTTCGCTCGAGGGTTTTGTAAAAACGGTACTTCCTGTAAGTTCGTTCATGGTAACGGCGGTTTCGGGGAAGAACTAGGGCTCGGTTCATCTTCACCTACAGCAGTCGCCGGTTCTCCCACCGGAAAAATCGATGCTTTCGAAGATTTGCTTAGGTTTAAAGCCATTCAACAGCAGCAGCAACGAATTGCAGCCATGACCGGAGGCGGAGTTCCTCCTTTTCCTTTCAACAGGTGCATGAACTTTCTCAATGAGAATCCTAGGTAAAGTTAAAGTCATCTCCCTCATTATTACTCAAAAATTACCACTTTATTGGTTATTCTTCACCCTGTAGTTTCGTATGTTGGATTTCTTTAGTATCTGGAAAAAGAGGAACAGCATAATTATGCTGCAATTATATGCTATTATTAGTTCTTTAAAGCCTTCTTTTTCCGTTTCTCGTGTTGGATTTCTTCTTGAAATGCATATAGAAGAAAAGGGTAAAGAAAAAAAAAAAAGAATCTTTTCTCGTTTTTGTGGATAAAGTTAGGTCATGTTTGGCTTTACCACATACATATATAAAACTTTCTGTATTTAAAAACTTAATGTTTGATCATATGGATTTATTCTGTCTTTTAGATCAGCAGCAGCATTGATGATGGGAGATGAATTTCACAAATTTGGTCGTTGTCGACCTGATCGGAATGATTTTTTAGGGTTTGCGAATTCAAATTCAAGTTCGCGACAAATTTACTTGACATTTCCAGCTGACAGTACTTTCAAAGAAGAAGATGTTTCAAATTACTTCAGGTCTCATTTCATCAACAAACAATCTTGAATTCTTGATTTTAACCCTTTTCTTTCATGAACTAAAGATTTCCCATTTCTTTAATCTTTTGAAGCATGTTTGGACCTGTTCAAGATGTGAGAATCCCATATCAACAAAAACGAATGTTTGGATTTGTCACGTTTATGCTTCCTGAAACTGTCAAAGCGATTTTAGCAAAAGGAAATCCACATTTTGTATGTGATTCACGGGTTCTTGTTAAGCCTTATAAAGAAAAGGGCAAAATCCCAGACAAGTATGAACCACCATTCGCGACACTTTCTCTTTTTTTGTCACAAATGATTAAAATATTAAATATCCCCTTATTTTATGTAGGAAGCATCAGCAACAAATTGAAAGAGGAGATTTTTCTGGGTGTTTGAGTCCAACTGCAATTGAATCTGCTGAGCCATTCGATCATATCCCCTTTGGTGAGCAAAAATATCATATCTATATAAACATTTAATTTTAATTTTAAATTTTATAATATAATGTTTAATCTTAGATGATTTTTATAAATATAAAACAGGTGCACGAATGTTTAATCATGAGATGATTTTGAGAAGAAAGTTAGAGGAACGTGCAGAATTACAACATGCAATTGAAATCCAAGATAGAAGAATGATGAATTTGCAATTAAATGAGCTAAAAAATCATCAGTTTCACCACAATTTATCTGCTTCTTCAACGTTTTCATCAGATGTCAACAATGAAGATGTTTCTGGAGGTAAATAATAAATAATAATTAACAAATAATATATATCCTTTTTTGTTTTTTGTTTTTTGTTTTTTTTTTCATGTTCTTATTACTAACAATATCGGTTTCACATATGTAGCAAAAATTAGCACTGAAGATGATACAAATTCACCAAGAGATGAATCCGATCCAAATGTGCCACCACCGGAAGTGAAGAATGATGGCGGGAATAGTGGCGGCAATGGCTCCGGGAAGGAGGAGAAATCCGGTCAGAATGAAACTGATAAACAAGAAAGGTTTGGATTTTGAATTTTGAATTTTGAATTTTGATGTTATAATTGATTATGAATTTATGATCATGTGTTTCTTGTTTAAATTACAGTTTTGAGCACAACCTTCCTGATAACTTATTTGCATCACCTACAAAGTCAGCCGCCACCAACCACCAGACGATTTTCTCGACTGATACGCCGGAGGCTGAAACCGGCGGTGGTGCCGCCACCACCCGCCACCCTCCCACCTCTTCAACCGCCATCGACATGCGGGGTTCTATCAATTCATGTTACTTCCAAATGCCAAGGTATATAAAAAATCACCAAAAGATTGCTTCAAATCTAAACTTCAATTCATATCTCTCAACATTTTTTTTGATTTTTTATATTTACCAGTTTTTATTTTTTTGTGGCAAGAAGCCATTAAAATGTAGGTGAATTTAGCTGCATTGTTGTCATCATGGAGCGATTTAACTTTGCTTGGTAAGAATATTTATATATATTATTCCTTTTAGTTTAGAATTACAAAAAAAAAAAAATAACAAAAAACTCGTACATTCGTGTTTATAAATAAAGTCAAAATGATACCGTTGACCGAAAGTCAATTTGGTCAACACCTGTTTTACTTTTTTTATTTTTCTCCTTTGTGGACCAAATATGTGTGGGGTATACGCAATGTTGTTGTTATTGAGTCGGACAAATGTTACGTCTTTATGGTTATTGAAGGACAAACGTTAGGTCTATATATCATCAGATGCTTAAAGTTAGAGTACGATTTATATATATTTATTTCAATAATCAAGTACTCACTTTGCCTTTTGTTTTTAGATTCCTACGGAATCGGAATCTGAGATTCCGTTCCGTGGTGCATTTTGTTTCCTTAGTCCAAATCCTTTTTCTTATCGAGTTCGATTCCATTTCCTGCCAACTAAACACAAGACAGATTCCAATTCCTTTGACAGATTCCATTGCTTTCAAAAACATAAACAAATGTCCTCATAGCATTCTAATGGGCTTAGGGAGTTAAAATCGATGAATATTGTGAAAATTGTTTTTTTACGATGCAAGGGTAAAATGGTCATTTAGTCTCATTCTGACGGTTAACTCGGTCTAGATAACGAACATATCTTATGTATACAACATTTTAACCGGATAAACATCATTACTTATGGGAAAAAAGAAACAAACCCTAAATCATGTTTTAGCTAAACCAATGTGAATTATGTTGTGTATTTTATATTAATTTTTTTTTATATATTGTTTTATGCAGGAGTAGGAGCAGGATTATAAAAAAACAACATCAACAACATCAAGATTATCATCTTCAAAACCTCTCTCCCCATACTACTTACAACTATACATAATATGCAATACATAAAAGAAAACAAGGATAGATGAACTGATTTAATGGGAGTAGGGTATCTTTCTTTATTTACTTTTGTACCCTTCCCTTCAAACTATGTGCTGGACCCCCTCCCCCTCCCCCTCCCCACCAAACACTCATTGAACCATGCATATAACAAATCAAAAGAAAAGGGTAGTAGTGGTTAGCAACTTTCTCTTTTTACTTATGTGGTAATTTCTTTTTCTGCCCTAGTATGTTCAACTCTATTGTATGGTACAACTCTTAATCCCTAAGGTACAACCATTTGTATACTTGATTTGACCTTTCTAGTGTCCTTTTGATCGTCAATATTGATACAAGATCCAAAAGGGTAAATGAATCGAGATTTGACTGATCTGATCTTTTTAGTGTGAGTTGTACCTTGTGCAATGGAAACTTGTACATTTTTATTTAAAGATTAGTTTAGGCCTTTAGGGTAGTAGTCTTTTGTCCGATTTTTTTGGTTTCTTTGAGGGTGGACATGAAGGGTATAGGTCCACCATGTCACATGGAGGCTGACAACCCATTTTCAATTGGTATCTTCAGAGTACCATTCACACACACACACACACTGCTTTCACTTTCAGTATTTTCTGGCTTCATTCACATATTATTGTGTGTGAGTGTGTGTTTGGCCTTTTGTTTTGATAGATGCATTAGTGCCTTTCTGTTTTGGCATGTTTTCTCAATTATGGCTTGATGGTACATGTCCTTTCAAAGAGATAACAATAATTTTATGCAAGTTGTACATCATGCAATAAAACTTGTACATTTGGGCTTAGTCAAAATGTCAAATGGCTTACACTTAAAAACTGCCCTTGCATGTAAATGTTATTCCTGTAGAGTTGAGGATTTTGGGGCCCAATTAGAGGATACGTTTTGCATACCTTTATTGACTATGGATGAGGTACAACAAAAGATGCACATGGTACACCTCTAGAGTTAAAGAACCATAGATAAGGTGTAAGGTACAACCCGAGATGCATAAGGTACAACGCTTTATTTAATGACCTGGGAATTTGAATGTAGAGTTCAAGGTTTTGAGACTAAAATGGGAGGATGTGAAATGGGGTTTCCAATGCTATAATTGACCATGGTTGAAGTACAACCAATTAGGCATGTGGTACAACATTTTGATGCGTGTTTTAGGGGTAGGTTTGGGTGAGATGATGTTGGTGGATCTTTGCTGTTTCTCAGTCTCTTTCATGATTTCATGATTGTGTGGTGTTTTTTATTTGATTGATGGGTTAATCTTTATAAAAAAATATACCACTCAAACATAAAGTTAAGGAATATTATAATAAAATGTAGGCATGTGGTTACATCAATGTCTTTCTTTTCCTATTTACTTTTGCCAAAAATAAAATCTAGTAATATTTGTACGTCAGTGATCTGTTATTATTACCTTTGAAACCTATGTTCACTTTTTAATCACCCATCGTGTAACAAAAGAAAGATCTTGTTTATGCAATAATGACTTGTCACTAGTGGACTTCTCAATTCTCATAAAAGTCGAATACTTTTACTAGCCGTTTCAGTACATCTTTTTGTCAAAAATTGTGGATGTCTTCCATTTTTAAAATTATAATCTTGCATGTTTGTTTTCGCTACTAATACTTTTTTACGCAATCTTGAAGTGTGACAAATAATAGAGAAAGAATACTAACAAGGCATCAATATTATTGTTTTTTCAAACGGCAAAGGTGTGCAACTTCATCCTGTTTTTTACACACATTTTTTTTGTCATATCAGCGCTTCATCACTCCTTATTCTCCTTCCTTCATTTTTCAGTTTACCTATTAAATGATCACCTCTCATGTCTCACCCTTAACCATTAAATATACTAAAGGATGTTGTAATTTACAAATGAAAAAAACAAAGGAAAGAAAAAAAAGCGAGGTGAAGCATTGCAGTGTATTCTCATTATGGAAGGGAAAAAGCCAAAAATAAGAGTTGCCTACTCAGAAAATCTGAAAATCTCTATTAATGTTAACGACATTGTTGACTTGCCGCAACATGAATGACAGTTTGCAGAGTGTCGTGTTTTTATGTTATGTTCTTGAAGCAGTTTTTTTTTCAGTCGTCGGGCTGCTCCGCAGTTTTGCAATAGGATGTCCATGATATATTAGAGATCTTGGAAATTTTCAATTTTACAATAATTTGATTAGAAGCTATTTCATAACAATTACTTTATAAAAATTTGAAAATATTATGTTATGTAATTTTATTTTAGTTTATGGTAGCAAAATGATCCCTAATATGGATAATATTACTTTTACAGATAATACATTCATACTTAATAACATTAATCATAAGAAACAAGCAAACATTATATATTACATTGATTTAGTAGTAAGTGTTACATAAAATTAGTTGATGAGAAATCATACATTTAATCAACGATATGAAGTTGAAAAATCAATAAGATATTTTTATTTTTCTTGAAATCACCCGATTGTTATTTTTATGTATCCCTTTGATAATCCTCTTTAATTCTACGTCTTCTTTGTTGGCGTGTTCTATGGCCTCTCGTACCCAAACGATTGCAGTTTTTATGTTGCGTTCTTTGTCTGTAACCGACCCCTTTTCTATCATATTTGAGATTGTAATTTTTCCAATCATTTTCTATCTTCTTTAATACCTGTACTCTCTGTCTTGATCTCTTATTTATTTTTTTTTTTTTTTTTGTTAAGAGTTGTATTCTCTTTTCCTTTGGCATCAACCACCATTTTTTTTAAAAAAGTAGACATGATTGTAGGTGTATGGTGGTTTGATTAAAAAAATATATGTTTGATAAATATTGTAAAGGTCGAAGATATATATGTAAAAGACATTTTGCATATTTTTTAATTGGTTTTAACTACTGTTTAGTAGCTTTTGACTACTACTTCATGATTATATTTTTATTATTTTTTAATAGGTTTCGACTACTCTTAGTAGCTTTTGACTACTACTACTTCATGATCAAACAGTGATTCTCCGACACATTGTATAGTAGAAGTCATATCATCTTACAAACATGCTTATATTTTGATTATTTTTAATAGGATTCGACTATTTTTAGTAGCCTTTGATTACTATTTCATGTATTGTCATATCAAATAGTGACTCTTCGACACATCTTCCAGTAGAAGTCATATCATTTTACGTACATGGTTATATTTTGACTACTTTTTAGTAGGCTTTGACTACTCTTAGTAGCCTTTGACTACTATTTAATGTATTGTCATATCGAACAATGACTCTCTGACACATCATTTAGTAAAAGTTATCATTTTACGTACATGATTATATTTATGATCCCGATATATGAAGCCGAAGACCTAGGTACAAAGAACGTAATCAAGAAAAAAAAATGAAAATTTAACTCTAAACATTAACTTTTTGATAGGCTAAAAATGCTACATTTTGCTATTTTATGTAGTTTTTAACAACACAGAGCCTACTTTAGAGCGTAATAACTATGTGTTATCGATATTGGACTTACGATCCCGTTATGTGAGGCTAAAGAACTAGGTACAAAGAATGTAATCTAGAAAAAAACATGAAAATTAGACTATAGCCGATAGCTTTTTGATAGACTAAAAATGCTACATTTTGCTATTTTATGTAGTTTTTAAAAACACAGAGCCTACTTTGGAGCGTAATAACTATACGTTACCAATATCAAATTTACGATCCTGATATGTGAGGCTGAAGAACTAGTTACAAATAACGTAATCTAGAAAAAAACATGAAAATCCAACTATAAACGATAGCTTTTTGATAAACTAAAAATGCTACGTTTTGCTATTTTATGTAGTTTTAAACATGGAGCCTACTTTGGAGCGTAATAACTATGCGTTACCGATATCAGATTTACGATCCCGATATATGAGGCTGAAGAACTAAGTATAAAGAACGTAATCTAGAAAAAAAAATGAAAATCGGACTTAAATGATAGCTTTTTGATAGGCTAAAAATACTATGTTTTGCTATTTTATATAGTTTTAACAACACACAGTCTACTTTCAAGCGTAATAACTATGTGTTACCAATGCCAAATATAGAAAATAAACATGTAATTCACTGTTAAAATGCTAAATACGTTATTTTATAAAATAGTAGGAAATAACAAATGAAAATTAGAACTTAAATAAATATTACATAAGAGTTTCCCACTTTATCTAAGGGTAGTTTAAATCAAAAGTGTTGTTTAAATCAAATGTGGAGTATACATGTTCATTCCGTGATCCGCTCCCGGATTCCAATTTATTATTCGTTATCTCGTTCTTTGTCGATATTTTACTCTGCCTAAATCCGCTCCCGAAATCCCTACCCATATAGTTTTTCCTCGCGCGTACTACCTGACCACACGTAAGACATTCTTTTCGTATAAGACACTCACCTTGCGACATACTGCGATTCGTGTTTCTTGGCCTTCTGGACTGAAATCTCTCCATTATAGGTGGCCTTACAATCATCAAATCATCGGGGATCTCCCACTCAGATGGACTTGGCAAAGGGTTCACACACTCCTCACAAGTTTTCCTAAGTGTCTCTATATCATAAGCTTTTAAAGCAAACCCAAAACAATCTTCATAATTGTTCACTGTTAGCACTTTTATGACATGACCACAAAGTATGCCATCTATTTGCCACTGCCTACATGTAAAAGTTTTGTGTTCAAAATCAACAATCACACTAATGTGAGTAGAACTTTTAACTTGAAATCTATTTCTTGAGATCGGGTACAACATCTAATTATTACAAGCATTTTTGTTTACTCTAACAATCTCCTCAGCCCATGGGGTGAGTGTCGTTTTGCTTCCGCTACAAGTAATAACAATTTCATGCAAGTAAGAAAGAAAACACTTCATATACTCATTAATATAAAAGATTTGCATCTTCAAAATTCTGCTTTTGAAAACTCTATTGTTGCATTGTTGCACGAAAAAATCAATCAACATCAATATTGGAATCTTCCTTGCAAATTTTGACATTGAATTTATCGACTCTACACTATTTGACATCATAAGAAAAGATCCATTCCTAGGAAAATTTTCCCTTGCCTATTTGGATTTATTTTTCGTAGGTATTCCCATACACCGACATTTCCCTCATTTTTTATACCATCATCGAAATATTTAATATAAGCCTTGCAAGTCTCCCAAAACAACGAGTTTAATGTATTACTCCTTCTGAATTCAGATGTAATGCTGAAATACAAATGGATACCAATATTCCATGAAAGGCACGGGGGAATTGATTTGCAATGGATGTTGCTATTGATGGAGCCCTATCAGATATGAATGTAAGGTCCTCCACAATGCTTATATATTCATGCAGTTTTTGAAGGAACCATGGCCATTTCTCTGTACACTCACTTTTGCATATGCCATAAGCAACCAACATTATTTGGTTCTGTCCTTCCATCATCACTACAAGCAACATTGTACCCTTTAATTCACCCTTCAGGTGGCCAACATCTATTATAAGTGTTAGCCTACAACAATTGAGGATAGCTCGTACCTACAATATATTAAAATTGCGTTAAAAATAAATAACTATAAATCATGTATAGTATTTTTACCATAAGTATCATTACATACTAAGCAACCAATCACGATATACACGAATCAAACCGATCATCCTCATTTGTTTTAATATGAGTAACCATTATGGGATTATGTTTGACCAAGCTATGCACATACGCTGGGAGTTTGGTAAATGAATCTTCTTTGGTACCTCTTAACAATAAGAGAACATATTGTTGTATCCGCCAAGCCTGTTGGTATGATATATTAAGTAGAAATTTGGAATTCATATCCCTAAAAATCTCATTCCTCCCATAAACTCTCTTATAATCTATGTCTATAACCTCGGTGATAAAGTGGTCGAGCACTTTTTCATTTATTTGTCGATGCTAGCATTTCAACTCTGTAGTAAAACATGTGTGTTGGTTAATATTTTTTAAGTTGGAAAATTCTCACAACCCCGTCCCAGGACGACGGAAACGTCCGGGGGCGGATGACGTTATTGTATTGTATCATCACAATTGAATATAAATGGACATAGCCACCAAACGACATACATTAAGATTAAAATCTTTATGAGTTTACAATTTGTAATTGTTCAAATGTTATACAAAAGCGACAAAATTGTAAATTTTATAATGTAGAAAAATATCCAAAATCCATGGCTCGAGTATCTGCTTACTGTTTTCATGAGAATACAAGTCGTTTTGAAAAGCATCAACATAGAATGTTGGTGATTTCATAAGCATTTTTGTATGAAAATAGTATGTATCTGTTTTGCTTGACAAAAATGTTGTATG